GTATGTTATATACACTGAAATTTAAACTAAATAATACAACAAAGTACATAATATAATATTTATTTTACCAGGAGCCATTCTATGTTAATAAGTCAGCAGCTTATCCTTTTAAATAGCAAAATTTCAGTAATAACACTCAGCAAGTATGTTATTCTTGTTTACTATGTTAATAAGTCAGCAACTTATCCTTTTAAATAGAGTGCTCTGGCTCAATCTCTTCCTGATTGCAGAAGGAAAAATCGAAACAGCACTTAAGAATTGTAAGGTCAGATTAGAAACTGGAAATTTAATATGAACAAAACCAAGTAGAATATTGCATTTAAAACAATAATTGTATCCTTTTAAATAGAGTGCTTTGGCTCAATCCCTTTCTAATTGCACGAAGGAAAAATCTGAACAACACTTAGAATTGTAAGGTCAGATTACAAACTGGAAATTTAATATGAACAAAACCAAACATAAAATACAACATATAGACAACAATAACACGAAATTATGGTAAAANTACAACATATAGACAACAATAACACGAAATTATGGTAAAAATCTTCAAAGATGCAACAATGTTTGAGAAACAAAATCGCACATTGTAATCAACAAAAAAAAGAGAATCAGAAAAAAAAATCGCAAATTTGGGACTTACATCTTCTTCTTCCATCTAATAAAACTTGAAATTAGAGCTTTGGATTTGTGGGAGTTGAATCGCGAGCGACGGATGAGGGAATCTGGGGTTCTACCGAAGAGAATTTGAATGAGGGGAGAATTTGGTTTTGCCTGTTGGTTTTTAGTTTTTAGGGTTTTCATATGGACCAGGCGGGTTAATTGATTTTGGGCCAACAGTTTAATGAAAACCCAGCGGTTTGGTTGGGTTTTTCTGGTTTGCCTGTTGAGTTGAAAAATCAGGGAACTCGGACAGGACCATGGTCCAGTTCGGCGGGTTCCGGGTTGAACCGACCGGTCCGGTTCGGGTTTAATAACTATGTTAGTAATGTTTCCATACCAACTTGCACCCTATTACCATTGAATACCACTAGCCCACCATTTTAGTTTGAACTTTCAAAACCTCAAATATGTCAAACCTGAGAGCCTGTCTTCCAAAGTGCAACATGGCCATTACAATTTCCATTCCCAGCTGTCCACACCTTGCCAACACCATACATAGAGTATATATAGTATATCCAACCCTACAATTCAACATCAAAATTTTCCCTACAATGGCTTCTAATAATCTTTATAACAAAATTCTTTTCTTCTTGCTTGTAATTTCCATAATTCTGCCAAAGTTTTCTTCAGCTACCCCTAGAATTCTTGCTCTTGTTAAGAAAGAACCCCCTGTTGTCAAGCATCACGAAGGTAAGCTCCTCAAAGGCAGTGTCAATATTAATCTAATTTGGTATGGCAAGTTCACCTCCACACAGAGGTCCATAATTCTTGAGTTTTCCCAATCCCTTAGCCATAAACACCACTGCGGCTCACCACCACTCTCCGTCGCGTCATGGTGGAGCACCGCTGCGAAATACAAAGGCGGTTTATGTATTATTAACGTAGGAAATCAAGTCTTTGATCAAAGTTACTCTCTTGGAAAATCTTTAAAAGATGCTCAGATTGTAGCCCTGGCTTCTAAAACTAGTGGCCATGTTAACGGAGTTAACGTCGTCTTGATGGCATTCGACGTAGCGGTGGAGGACTTCTGCTTGAACAAGTGCGGGAGCCACGGATACATACGTGGCAAGAGCAGGAAAAAGTACGCTTACGCGTAGGTTGGCAACTCAGCCGTTCAATGCCCGGGTCAATGTGCTTGGGCGTTTCAAAAGCCGATTGTAGGGCCACAAAAGCCGCTGTTGGTGGCGCCTAACGGAGACGTAAGAGTTGATGGGATGGTTATCAACTTGGCTAGGGCTGGACATGGTCCGATTCGATTTTGAAGAGAATTGAACCGAACAGAACCAAAATTTTTGGGTATTTAATAAATGGAACCGTTCGAGTTCAGTTCGGTTCTGTTCGATTCTGCTTGGTTCCGTACCATAATTAAATTTTTTAACAAATTTCTAATGGTCAACGATCAGTGGTCGTGGTTGGAGGTCACGACTTCGATAGACAGTTGGAGAGGGAAAGTCGGACTTGACAGTCGACGGCTTTGATTTAGGTATGTAGATGTATGTTTTCAATTTATAAAATGATTTGGAGTCAGTGACTCAGTGGTTATCAAATGAAAGTGTGAAATTGGAAAGAGATGGATAAAAACTTAAAAATGCCTAGATTTTAGGCTAAGAATGAAATTAATAATTGGACAAAAAAATTGAATTTAAAAATTAGGTTGGGTTGTGCTAGGCTAGCTGGCATATATTTGGCTTGTGAGTTAGAACATTAATCACTAAATTAGTTAATTTGTTTAAAAAATAAAATTTTTTTATTAATTCAATATAAAAAAATTTAAAAATTATTTAAATTCAGTTCTTATTCAATTATTCAGTTCTGGGTCTAGAATCGACAACCAAACCGAATTCGTCGGTTCTCGATTCAGATACCCCGTTCGAATATTTAACTTATGAAGAATCGTTCGGTTCGATTCAGTTGGGTTCGAGTCCGGTTCGGTCCGAGAGTTTTGTCCCGCCCTAAACTTGGCCACCATTTTTACGGGCGCTGTCACGAATCCGTTTGAAGGTGGTTATTTCCAGGGTCCTCTTAGCGCCGATAGAAGCAATCACGTCTTGCATTGGGATATTTGGGTCGGGTGCCCGGGTACCCGGGAAAGGTGTTGGTAGATAAGAGGACTGCTGCTAGCTACAATGCGCACGGGGAGAACGGCCGGAAGTATCTTTTGCCGGCCATGGGGAATCCTGTTATCTTGAAGTGCAAGACACCCGTTTGTATAAAAATGTATGGCAAATGGACTGCAAGTTGATGATGAAAATAAGATTTTTCTTTTTTTCTTTTTTATCAACCTTTGAGATGACACACTTATCATTTTAAATTTAAAAATATACAATAAATAAATAAATGGCAAGCCATTTAAGAAATTGTCCCAAAAGGAAAAAAAAAAAAAAAACCATGATGGAAATTGATGAGTTTATTCTATTGATATACTTCTTTAGTTCCTCTTTAATGTTCTTTTTGGCTTTTTTGCATTTGACTCTAGTCTACAATTATCGCAATTTTTTTGCTTTACCAAACCAACGACTATTATAACATTCTATTGAGTTGATCTTCTCCATTTCATCCAATTTGCTCTAATTTTGTAGTCAATACTATTTAAATCCTCTATTCTTTCAAAAATGGAATCAACCCACAATATCGTAAAATCTCTAGATTCCAATATACTCCACGCAAGTTGTGATTTACTATTATTCCTTTTTCGTCTCATCTTCTAAAAGTACTTTCTCAGAAATTTTTTTTTTTTTGCAATCATGTATTTATTTTTTGGTGCAATTATATGATTGAATTACAACAATAATGAGACAACGTATCCGGTGGAAATTATGCCTTCAGCCCATTTCAATTCGTCTGTTATACATAGCTTTTCCAACTTAACCCTCATCATCAAAGTTTGAAAAAATATAGCTGATTCAACAAAGTTTCAGAATTAAGATGGCTTTTCAAGTTAGATCAAACAGTTTGCCATCAAAATCTCATCCAGTAATTGCTAATGTCGAAGATCATATTTCCAGGCTAATTAAAGTCCTCCTAAGAAGCTTCTGTATCGGCTTCTTCCATATGCACAAACTTGGCAAGTCTCAGGAATTGGCCCGAAGATATTGATAATTTGATTCAGCTTCCATCTGCCCAGCAATCCCTCAGAGAAAATAAGGCCAGTGAGTTGTTTGATGGATCTCTCAAGCTCGTTGACATGTGTGGAATTGTTCGAGATGTTGTAGTATTGATGAAGAAATCTGTTCAAGAACTCCAATCGGAGGAGAGATAAGAGGCATTGATGCATATATGACTTCACGGAAAAATATTGACAAAATGGTTAAAAAGCGTTGTTGGGAGCAAAGGAGTCCCACGTCGATTGGGAGAAGAAAAAAAATCCACCATATAACTCAAGTGGGCTACTACACCCATGCCAATTGGTTTTGGATTGGAAACTCACTTGGGCTTGGTGGTGTGGGTTTGGGCTCAACCAATTTCCTCATTATTTTGAGGAAATTATACCAAACCCTATGTTTCAAGATCCAACTTAAAAAATCAGGTACAAAGTTTACTTATTCAAAAATCATATATTTTTAATAAATTAATATATTTAAAATAAATATTTTTACTAATATAACAATTCAAAACTAAATTCATCTACCACACGTCCCTACCCTAATTCTCTTATCTCATCTCTTTCTCTCTCTTTAACCCTCCTCTCCCATCTCGTTTCTCTCTCTATAGCAGTGACGACACCGTCGTTGTGACGCCCTCGCCGCCGCTATGACGATCCCTCATTCTCATTTCTCAATTTCCATTCTTCTCTTTATCCCCATCTCTCTCGCCTCCTTCACTGAGCCGCATTGGGAGCTGCAATAGGGAGAGTCGCATGCAGTGGAGTGGGCAGTGGTTGATAGTGGTTGGTTTCTGAAGTGGCGATCTGATTTTGCAGTGGTTGACAGTGGTGATGGTGGGCTTGGAGATGGTGGGTTTGTGTGTAGTTGCCACTGCTGTAATGACAAGGATTTGAAATGGTGGGCTCGGATATGGTAGGTTTGGGTTTGGTTTGTGGTGGGTTCAGCGATCTGAAATTTGCGCCGATTTGGTGATCTGTACCATGGTCTATGTTGTCGGTAGTGGTGATTAGGTGCTGCAGTGATGAGATGCCGGTGATGGGTAGTGAATCTGCTTGGGATGTGGTAGTAGCGGTCAATTGTGATGGTGGCAGTGGAGGTCGACTGCGATGATGGTGGCTAGTGGTAGTGTTGCGGTGCTGACGACCACCACAGAGTGAGGGTGGTCGCAAGTGGCAGTGGCTATAGTATGTGACCCAATATTTGGTGTATGTGACCAATTATTTGTTTATCTGCGACTAAGTATTAATCCGTGACCTTAAAATTCGGTAATCTGTGACTAAAAAAAATCCTTGACCAACCATTCGGTAATCTTTGACCAACTGATTTGAAAATCTGTGACCGTGTGACCTATAAATTTTGATCTGTGACCAAATAATTTTGAAATATGTGACTAACGAATTAAATGTGACCTATAAATTTTTTTAATTTTGACCATAAAATAATCTATGACGTATAAAAATTATTATTTGTGACTGAAAAATAATATGTGACTAATTAAATTATAAATATGTGACCGAAATGATTGCCTGAATAGTCACTGGAATGATCGCCGGAATAGTCATCGGAATCTGAGCAGTCACCGGAATGGTCGTCGGAGAA